TTAAAACAAACAAAAAAACAAAACAAAACTCACACCTAACCTCATAATCAAGGGTGAAAGACAGTAAACTTCCCCTAATACCAGGAATAAGACAAGGATGTCTGCTTTCCCTACTGGTTTTCAACACTCTAGAAAAAGTGCTAGCCAGAGCATTTAGGCAAGAAAAAGGAAATAAAGGCATTCAAACTGGAAAGAAAAAGATAAACTATCTTTATTTGCATATGATACGATTCTATATATAGAAAATCTATATACATAGAAAAAACCCCTGGGGCACCTGGGTGGCTCAGTTGGTTAAGTGTCTGATTCTTGGTTTTGGTTCAGGTCGTGATCTCACAGTTCGCAGGTTCCAGCCCCATGTCAGACTCTGCGCTAACAGCGCAGAGCGTGCTTGGGATTCTCTCTCTCTCTCTCTCTCTCTCTCTGTCCTCCCCTGCTTGCTCTCTCTCTCAAAATAAACATTAAAAACACTAAAAAAAAAAAAAAGGAAGAAAGAAAAAGAAAAAGAAAAATCCCAAAAACTACCAGAAAAATAAAAACCAAATTCAGCAAAGTCTGGGTATATATGGTCACCACACAAAAATCAGTTGTGTTTTTAAACACTAGCAATGAAAAATCTGAAAGAAAATTAAGGAAACAATTCTGTATACAGTAACATCCAAAAGAATAAAATATCTAAGAATAAATTTAACCAAGGAGGTAGATTTGTACACTGACACTACAAAATCTTGCTACAAGAAATTAAGGATGTAATTAAGGAGAAAGATACCCCACAGTCATCGATTCAAAGACTGAGTAGTGTTAAAACAGCAACTCCCCAAAACAGATTCAATGCAATCCCTATCAAAATTCCAATGATCTCTTTTTGCAAGAAGAGAAAAACTGATTCTCAAATTAATATGAAGCTTCAAGGGGTCTTAAGTAACTAAAGCAATAATGAAAAAGAAAAATTAAATTTAAAGACGCACACTTCTCTTACTACTTCAAAACTTTCTACAAAGCTACAGTAATCAGAACAGTGTTCCACTGGCAACAGGACATACAGACCAATGAAACAGAACTAAGAGTTGAAAAATAGATTCAAACACCTACGGCCAAATGATTTTTAACAAGGGTACCAAGACCATCCAATGGGGAAAGAACAATCTCTTCAACAAATGGTGCTGGGACAAGTGGATAACCACATACAAAAGAATGACGTGGGACTCCCACCTCACTCCATACACAAAATTAACTCGAAATGAATGGATTAAAGACCTAAGTGTAAGAGCCAAAACTATAAAACATAGGGGTAAATCCTCATTACCTCAGATTTGTCAATGGATTCTCACATTTGATACCACAAGCACAAGCAACAGAAAGAAAATGGATAAGCTGGACTTAACAAAAATTAAGAAATCTGTGCACCAAAGGAGATTATTAAGAATCTGAAAAAAGACCTACAGAATGGAAGAAAATATTGGTCAACCATGTATTTAATAAAGGTTTAATATTCAAAATATATAAAGAACTTTGGGGCACCTGGGTGGCTCAGTTGGTTGAGAATCCAGCTCTTGATATCAGCTGACATCATAATCTCGTGATTCGTGAGATCAAGCGCCATGTCCAGCTCTGTGCTGGCAATGCAGAGCCTGCTTGGGATTCTCTCCCATCCCACCCCTCCCCCACTCACACTCCCTCTCTCTAGCTCTCTCAAAAATGAATGAGTTAAAAATATATAATATATAAATACGTGTGTGTGTGTGTGTATGTGTGTATAAAGAACTCTTACAACTCAACAACAAAAAGATAAACAACCCAATTAAAAATTGGGCAAAGGGCTTAAATGGACAACATTCTAAAAGAAGATATACAATTAAAAGATGTTCAATATCAATGGCCATTAAGGTAAGGAAATACAAAACTACAATGAAGATATCAGTTCATATCCACTAGAATAGCTTAGATAGATGGAGAGATAAATGTTGGCAACGATGTACAGAGATTGGAACCCTATGACGCCTATGGTGCAAATAAGTTAAACACAGAATTATTACCATATGACCTAGCAATTCCATTCCTAGATATTTCACCCAAGAGAAACGAAAACCCATGTCTACACAGAAACCTGTACACATGATTTGTAATAGCCAAAAGGGGAAGACAATCCAAATGTCCCCCGGTGGATGAACGGATAAATAAATTGTGATATATACACATAATGGAATATTACTCAGCCATAAAAAGGAACAAAATGTTTAAACATGCTATATTTAGATATATCTCAAAAACCAAGTGAAAGAAGCTAGACATTTTAAAGGTCACCTATTGTATTATGATTCCTATTATAGGAAATGTCCAGAACAGGCAAGTCCAGGGAGACAGGAAGCAGATTAGAGGTTACCAGGGTTGGAAGGAAGAGAGAATGAGGAATGATTACTTAATGGGTACAGGGTTTTTTATGGGGTGATGAATAAGTTTTGAAATTAGAGAGAGCTGGTGGTTGTACGACATTGTGAATATGCTAAATACCACTGAAATGTACACTCTAAAATGGTTAATTGTATGTTAATGTGAATTTTGGCTTAATAAAAGAAAATGTGGTTAGACTCACCCATACAAATACTTGAATACCTACCACACTCCAGGCACTCTCCCAGTACATGGATTAAGATGATGAACAGAGGTTTTCTGTTACAAATTTAAAAAGCAAGGTAAGAGACTAGAGTGAGAGTGTGGGCTGTTTTAATTAGGGTGTTCAGGGAAGACCTCCTGGAAGAAGTGACATTTGAACAGAGATCAGAATGAACTGTAGAACATTATTCTGCTAAATAATAGAAAAAAATACTGTACTAAAATTAAAATCTAAATTTTAATTTATCAAAAATCATCACAGGCAAAACTTCCTTTTCTAAAAATCATTTTACTCTTCCTTGTAAGTAATTTCTTTAGGGGCCAATAATACGTGGCTTCTCTACTTCCCTGCAGGACGGCCCCCAGGGCCAGGCCACACTCCCAAGAGAGCCTGTCATTCCCCTTGCTAACAAGGCATGTTTCCCCTTTAGGAAATCACTCAGGAAGGGAAAGATGAAAAGGAATTAGCACTTATGATATGCTGGATTCTCACATTCACTTAGATTCTCGCTTCTCTTCCTCACAATTACCTTTCCAGGGCTGAGGAATTAAGGTTCACAAAGGATAAGTAACTTACCACCATGGTTAGCTAAATGAAGGACCAGAATTCAAACCGGGTCTGACTTCAAACCCATGCCCTTTCCATCCATAAATGTCTCGTTTTTACTGAGCACATCTTAGGCCACACCAAAAATAGGACGAAGTGACCCTGTCCTTGAGAAGCTTGTCATCTCAACACTAGAGACCCATCCAAGATGCACCAGAACATTCCTCAACCTGAAGAAGGCAGAGCAGGCTCCAGGAACACGAGGCCCCTGCTCTCCAATACCATGCCATGTACCCAGAAAGCCTAACTCACGTTAAGAACTAAGGAATCTAGGGGCGCCTGGGTGGCTTAGTCGGTTAAGCGTCCAACTTTCGCTTAGGTCATGATCTCGCGGTTCGTGGGTTCAAGCCCCGCATCGGGCTCTGGGCTGACTGCCAGCTCAGAGCCTGGAGCCTGTTTCAGTCTGTGACTCCCTCTCTCTCTGACCCTCCCCTGCTCACGCTGTCTCTCTCTCTCTCCTAGAAATAAATAAAACATTAAAAAAAAAAAAAAGAACTAAGGAATCTACCCTTTATCGCTCCAAGAACCTGGCCCTGTGAACGAGGGGCCCAGCTGTGTGCCAGGAGTCACAAAGCTTCCTGGGGCAGATGCAGGCGTCCATGAAACAAGCCTCCTCCCTCAGTCCAGCCATCGCAGCCCCTTCCTGGCTCTGCACGTGACACTTAACGGTGGGTCTAGCAGAAGAGCCACTGAAATCTCCTCCAAAAGGGTTTCCTTGCTAACTGTGGAGAAGGCTTCCTTGCCTTTAACTGATATTCCCGTAAGTAAGTTGTAGTCATAATTAAATCCCAGATGAACAGGGAGAAACGGGACTGTGGTGGACTGCAAGCCTGATGCTCTCTGCAGAGTGACCAGGCCTCGGGGACTTGTTCACCACTAACAAGCTACTGTCTGTAAAACCTGATAAAAACATAATGACTAAACAGTATCATTATTACTAGACTACCCGTTTAAATGTAAATTAAGAGAGGAAAGGGGAAAGAAAACCCATTAGTAAATCAGGTTTGGGACTGCTACTCAGCAAGGTGTAAGCAACATCTGAACCACAGGGGTAAAGAACGTCTTAACTGAATTTGTTAAAGGATATTGAATGCAATGTTGCTGCTATAAGAAAAGAACTCAAAACAGAGAGAAGAAATGGAGGGAACACCAGCTAGAAAAATGAGTCAATATAGGCAAAACAGATGTTAGAAGGAAGGAAAGGCTACATGAAAAACATATACTGGAAACATACGTAATTTCTTTAAAAAGCACTATTTACCAGCAAAACTAAAACACCAGAATCTGAAAGCAAAACTAAAAAGTCTAGAATGTGAACAAAATCCAAACGTGGACTGTAATCCAGCGTAAACTGACCACATGGCACAAAACAGTGAAAACACGAACTCGAGTCCAACGGGCCTACTCCTCTTCATTTTTCTCATCTGTGAAATGGAAGTAACTCTTGCTTCAACAGTTAGGCTGGCACACAGGTGGCACCCAAGGCAGCCGACTCCCTGATCCTGAGCCCTCTCCCTGACACAGCCGCAGGGAACGCCTTCAGACTCTGACTTGCAATCCGCCAGCCAGTGCCTCCTTCCTCTTCTGTGAGCTTGCTCACCCGCATCCTCCCTGGAAAACACCTCCTGACCCCCCAGTCCAAATTACACAGCCCCCCACACTCCCCTCAGCGCCTCTGTTCTGCCTTCACAGTGCCTCCCTGCCAGAGTGCCACAGCCCAGGGGCCCTGGCTCACCGTCTGCCGGGGCTCCTCGGGGACGGCGGCCACACGGTGGCTTACCTGACTGTTGCTCAGCTTTGAGAGCTCGCACAGCTCCTGAGAAGGCTCTCAAAACACGTGTGCTGATCAAAGGATTCTCAATTATCCCAAGTCAGAATAGAGGCCAAGCAGCTTCCCTGGGGCAAATCTTAAAAAGTACAAAACATAAGGAAACAACTGTACTCTGGGTGAAGAGTCCATGCTTTGCCATTATCTGACTTGGGACAGTTACTCACCCAAACACCCGGAGCCTCCCATGTAAAAAAAGAAGGAACTCAACTAGAAAGTCTCCATGGTCCCTACCATCAGCAAGGACGTATTATGTTTACGTTCTAAGATTTTAACGTTCTTACTCTGCCACATCTTGATTCTCTATGTTAACATCAGAATGCTTTAGCATCCATTTCACTGCTAACAAGCATGTGGTGTGCGTGGCGCTTTCTGCTTGACTTTGCAGATGGAAAAGCAATTCAGAGAGAACCGACAGCCTGACCGAGTACAGACGGCAGGGCTGACATTCAGGTCTTTACAGCTGGTGCCTTCCTCCCTGCACCCTTCTCAAGCTAGCGAATGAACAGCTCCAGGGACACGTGGTAGATGTGAAGGGAGCCTTCAGGGACCCTAGGGAAGCCAAGGACAAACACAATGCATCTTTTGGAGAATTCACTGTACTCAAAACTTTGGGAGACAAAGCATGTTTATATTTCAAAACAATCAGACATATTATTGCATGTGCTCTAAAATGTGCATTAAAACTTAAATGCCACTCTAGATCTCAGGATCATGAGTTCAAGCCCCACGTTAGGTGCAGAAATTACTTAAAAAATAAAAAATAAGGGCGCCTGAATGGCTCAGTCAGTTAAGCATCAGATTCTTGATTTTGGCTCAGGATGGTGGGTTCGAGCCCCTCATCAGGCTCTGTGCTGGGCGTGGAGCCTGCTTGAGATTCTCTCTCCCTCTCTCTGCTCCTCCCCTGTCCTGTTCATGTGGCATCTCTCCTCTCTCTCTCTCTTTCTCTCTCTCACTCAAAATAAATAAACTTTAAAAATAAATAAATCTTTTTTAAAAATTTAAAATAAAACTTAATGGGCCTTAGGAGCTTGAGACATACTGCACTAAAGCCATGCCATGCCCTTTCTCACACAGAAAAGCCATCTGAGAGCAGAACACTTAATTTACCCTGCAATAACGTCCCAAACATCAGGCTATATTAATCCAAAAAGGACAGGATTTAATTTCTAGAATAAAATTGTAACTTCAGGGCATTACTGGGCAGGGAAGGACAAGAACTAGTTGCCTGTTCTTCCTAAGTCATTAAAGGCACCCAAGAAAGTTACTATGTCTAATGAAGTCTCATCATACAAGCCTCTTAATGCAGGAAAGCGGGGAGCAAGCATAACAGAAGACGGTGCGCAGCAGGGCACAGGCCCGGGAGGCAGCTACAAGGCACCCCCTGCCACAGACAGTATCAGCCAGACCACGTGTAATTACCGTGTGGGCATCTGGCGCAGCTCTCTTCTCTCCCAAACCTCAGCTCTGGACACAAACGCTGACAGGAGAGGGCCAACGGGAACCTCATTACCTACACGTGTGCAGGCCTCCTACCGGGCATTAACCCTCCTGAGTACAAAGCTGGTCTCTGAAAACCTTCTCTGCAATTGCCATGACTCCTGGAGACTCACATTTACCACACTGGTGCTACTACTGTCCTGAATGCTTTATCATCCCACTTTGTTAACTGACTTAGCTTTTCTCTCCACCTAAAGAAACCAAGCTTCTAATAAATATACTTTTGGGTTTTGCCATAGAATCAGAGTTTAAATTAGAAAGGAAATCAGAGTATCAGAACAGCAGGCCTGATATCTTTCTTGGTAGAATGGCCTCATAAAATGTTACCCTAAAACCTGCATTTAAAAAGTAGATACAAGGGCACCTGGGTGGCTCAATCAGTTGAGCATCTGACTCTCGATTTCGGCTCAGGTCATGATCTCATGGTACAGGAGATCAAGCCCTGCACTGGGCTCTGCACTGACAGCATGGAGCCTGGAGCCTGCTTGGGTTTCTCTCTCTCCCTCTCTCTCTCTCTCTCCCCCTCTCTCTCTCCCTCTCCCTCTCCCTCTCCCTCTCCCTCTCCCTCTCCCTCTCCCTCTCTGCCCCTTTCCTACTCGCTCTCTTTCTCTCCCTCAAAATAAACAAATAAACACTAAAAAAAAAAAACTTTAAAGTATATATATACACAAAGGGCACCTGGGTGTGGCTCACTGAGTTGAGTGTCTGTCTGACTTTGGCTCAGGTCATGATCTCATGGTTCGTGAGTTCAAGCCCCACATGGGGCTCGCTGCTGTCCATGCAGAGCCCACTTCAGATCCTCTGTCCTCTCTCTGCCACTTACCTGCCTGCAATCTCTCCAAAACAAATTAAAAATTAAAAATACAGTGCTTGTTTCGGCAGCACATATACTAAAATTGGAAAGATACAGAGAAGATTAGCATGGCTCCTGCGCAAGGATGACACGCAAATTCGTGAAGCATTCCATATTTTTAGGACACTCGTGGGGATGAGCACTGAGTGTTATGTGGAAACTAATTTGACAATAAACTATTTGTAAAAAAAAAAAAATTAAAAATACATATACATATATACACAGATAGTTAAAATCAGCATGGAGAAAGCCCTAGAAAAATATAAATCATGAAATGAAATTATAGGACCAAAATTTTTATTTCTTAAGGATTAAAGAGATTTAGGGCATTTCAGCCGATCTGACAGAGCAGTGGATGGGGTGGGAGTGGTTCCTGAGGAAGGTGCTTTTTAACATTTCCACCCTCCCCTCAGCACCACTTTTTGAGACTTTCTACCTACAGTGAGAAACAGCGGAGACAGCAAAGGCTGCCGCTCACTGCTCCGCTCCCCAGCGCAGACCAGGCCCTTGGCAGTGGCAGCCAGTGGACCCCCGGGGGCTCCTGGTATGAGCTGGGGGACAACACAGGAAACACAGCAACTGAAATCCACACACTAGCGGCCTCGCCAGCATGAGGTCTACCGGCAAGAAGTCACAGGACAGACAACTGTCCTCCTACCAAAACACAGGGGTGGGGAATGGAGAAATCTCCTTCCGGCCATTCTCGGGGCCCTGCAAGAGGCCCAGGGGCATCGCTCATGTTGGGACTCAACACCCACCTCCCAGAAGCCTTCCCAGACTTCCCCCAGCCCACCCCCCCCACCCCCCGCAGGCTAAGAGCTTCCCCTTTCCTGAATTTCCACCATACTTCCAGTCTTCCACCACAATCCACTACTTCACTTTAGCCTACATTTTATGACCACTTGGTTTTATGACTACATAGGTGGGTCTCGCTCTCCAGCTGAGCACCAGCTCCCTGAGGGCGGGGTGTTAAATTCCACCTTGGCTCACCCTTCCTGCCACATTCAGTCCTGGTCCTGTGCCGTCCCCTACCTGTCCCCTACCCACGGGCTCTGGCATCTCCCTTCCCGTGCACAGGGGCAGACTTCTGCAGCCCATGCTCTTAAAGGCGGGTGCTAGATCTCTCATCCCAGCTCTGTAACAAGAACATTACGGGAGCTCAAGGCACATTAACTGAACATTAGGTTAAATGAGGAAAAGATTCCCAACTCCCAGTTAATGATCCACTTATCTCGAGGAATACAGAATTCAGCAAGAGATTCCCATCTGATTTGGAGAGTTGTGAGAAACCAACAGTCACCTATATTTACAAGATCTCACTACCCACCAGCCTCAGCCCAAGGTGTCTGCACTGGGAGAAAAAAAGTATCCCATTCAAAAACATTTTTACTGCCTAATGATTAAAAAACAAAAACAAAAACAAAACCTCATCTCCTCCTTCCTAGGTTGGTTAGTTCCCCACCCCCCAATCATCTAGAACAGTGTTATGCAGAAAACAATCAGTAAAGCCTCTTTAAAATGAGAAAGCCGTTTTGTATTTTTTAGTTAATAATGAATGATGGGTATTACAGAAGCACACATAGTTTTCTGACATTTTTCCATTCTCTTTTTTTAATGCTTATTTTAGAAAGAAAGAAAGAGACAGAGTGTAATCATGGGAGGGGCCGAGAGAGAGGGAGACACAGAATTTGAAGCAGGCTCCAGGCTCTGAGCTGTCAGCACAGAGCCCAACGCGGGGCTTAAACTCATGAACCTCGAGATCATGACCTAAACTGAAGTCTTAATCGACTGAGCCACCCAGGCGCCCCTGACATTTTTCCTTTCTGTTTAAAATTACATTCTCTTCTATTTCTATCAGCAACTTTGGACCCAAAGCCTCCTGCTGTGATGTAAGCGGCACCCACCCCCATTCACCTCTCTCTACTGCCCTCCTGCCCACTGGCATCTGGCCTCTCCCTGTGGTTGCCCTCCTCCCACTCAGAATGAGCCGAAGCATCGCCTCCACGGTTAGGCCTCAACTGCCCCTCTCTGGTCACCTCCCAGGTCCACTGGCCTCCCTTCACTTCCTTCTTTCCCGCCCTGTAGCTCTCCTCCCCGTCTGTCTCTGTGGATGAAGTCAACATTATGACTCTCCCCCCATTCCCCCCAAATGATGCTTCTTCCTCTATGAACACTCACACTCGTAAAGAAGCACACGAGGGGTCCTGCGTCTACGGATCAACGCAGGTGCCCTTGGTCATAAGATGTCTCCTCTACCAAGTTAACAGTTCTTAAACGGACCACTGCAAAGAAACTCAGCTGTTGCATAATACTTGATAGTCAAGATCACTTGCTGTTCAGAGTCCTGCTATACGGAGATGAGAAAATAGAGATGGGCACATTTAACGCAATTTCCTTTGTTTGCCTGAGCCAGTGTAGACTTGCAACACCAGCATGACAATTTTATCTTTCTCCAAGTGCAGTTTTAACATCACAGAGGACTTTAAGGGAGCAATAAATCATTCTCCTCCATGCATTAGCATAGCTATCCTGACAGTACCCCAGAAAGGCCTCTCTCAGGTCTGCACGGTGAAAAAATAAAGGGATTTTAGCCGGGATGTTTACAGAATCAAAATCCCAAACACAGGGGAAAGTGACAAGCAGCAGCCCAGATGTTTCAGTTAAATGAAGGACTTTCTTCAAGGTATGAACACGAGTAAGCATATTCTGACGGTATCAACAGAAGCAACTGACCACTGTTTGCAGAGGAATGTCTGTACACCCTTTGCACTGAGTGAGGCCATCTTATTAAATCCAAAATGCATGGATAGAATCCAAGCAAAATAACTGATCTCCTTTCCCCTCGCAGAAAAATTCACATGAATGTCTTAAAAAAAAAAAAAAAGCTGGAATTCTCCCTGCCAGTTCTCTCTGCTCTCCTGGCTTCTGCATTGTGACAGCTGGAACAGATGGCGGCTGGGGGAGCCACCTTAACACCTTAAACCTCATGCGTGATGAGGGCCGATTTCAACCAGTGATGCTAGAGTCCCAGGTCTGCCGGGGTTTGTCACGAGCCCCCACTCACGAGGATTTCCAATCCTTCCTGATATTTTCTGGTTTGCGTACTAATAAGGCTTATTTTGCTTGGCCAAAGAATCCTTCATCTATAGACTAATTCTAAATATATATCTTTATAGACACAACAAGGTGAAAAAAAAAAAAAGCAAATATGCCCTTGCACTTGAAAAACGAATGGCTATGCACTATTTTGCCAGACATCCTACACATGATGCAGTCTTTTTAACAGGCCATTTTCAAAGATGTGGAAGACACGCACAGATTTTAGCACCAACCGATAGTCCGCCTGGCCATTTCTTTCAATAAGGGTTTTAGACACATAATAGAAGATTACAGAAAACGTTTCCAAAGGCTTCACCAGTGTGTATTCACGACAAATGCCAGGAGGGAAAAAAATTATGGCTCCTCCTCTGTTGAATGCTGTGAATGTAAATTAAGAGGCGGTAAGGTAACGCTACTCAACATAGCCTTTATGACTCCACAAAAATAAATGAACACACACACACACACACACACACACACGACACACACTCACACACCCCCGTCTCTGTCTGAAATCTGATTCAGAGCTTCATAGGAAAAACGTGAAATAAAACTGTTTCCTTCAATGAACCATTATCTGAAGGGTTGTTAAATTTCAAAGCACGTCCACAACAGTTCATCCATTTCCCTTTTGTTTACAGGTTTGCAAATTAAGGGTAAAGAATGTTCCACACGGAATTCTCTCTACAGGTCTCGATATTAAATAGATGTCCCCAAATGGGGTGACGGCGTGAAAACGTGGCAAAGCCTACGTGAGCGACAGCCTGGCGCCTGGAGATGAAATTTTAAATACCGTGGCAGGCATCCTTTTCATTTTTTGCACCTCTGGGGGCCCGGTCTGACCTTTCCTATGTATCAAAGGTGGAATGTGTGCATTTTGCCCCAAACTGGATCCCAGTACCGCCTGCCTTCGAGGCCACTGCAGCTCCCCGATTATGAATCAGAGGTTCATCTGCAGAGGAATGACTCAGTATAAACTTTTAAATAAGGGCTTTGGAACCCCCCCCCCCGCGGGCCGGCAGCCCGGGAGGGGGGACCCCCTGCTGGATGCGGACCCCCGAGCCGGCGCGCCCCTCCCGCCGCCAGAAAACACGGCCTCGCGGGGGGATGCCGGCTCTCCCCACCCCGCGGGGCTCGCGCCCCCGGGAGGCCTCGGCACCCCGTTTCCTGAAAAGCTGCGGGCGCCCCGGCCCGCGGGCCCCGGGCCCGGCCTCGAGGACAAAGTTTTCCGAAGTTGAGGCGCTCGGGGGGCGGACGGGCCCGGGCGGGGGCGAGGCGGCGCCGCACCGGGCACTCGCCGCCGGGCGCCGGGCCTGCTTCGCCCCGGCCCGGCTCCGGCCCCGGGCCCGCCGCCGCCGCCGCCGCCCGCCCGCCCGCCGAGGACGCGGGAAGGAGCCGCCTGGGATGGAGCCTCCCGGCCGCCCGCCCGCCCGCCCGCCGCCGCCGCCGCCTCCCCTTACCCCGCGGTCCGCCCCGCTCGGCCGGCTCAGGGGCGCCGGGCTCGTCCTCCGCCGCGGTCCGCAGCGTCCTGCTCCCCGGGCAGCCCCATGTCGGGGGGCGGGGAAGGGCCGGCGGCCGCCGCCGCCGCCGCCGCCGCCGCCGGCTGGAAAGTCCCTGCTGGGCTGCAACCCCGGCTCGCGCACGCGGCGGCCGCGCCGCGCCGCGCTCCCTCGCGCCCTCACGCACCCTCTCGCAGCACTTCCTCTCGCGCGCTGGAAATCCCCGCCGGCCGCCGGAGCGCGCCCCGGCGCGCGCCCGCCCCGCCCCCGCCCCCGCCGCCCGCGCGCGCGCGTGGGAGCGCAGGAGCCCGCGAGCGCGGCTGGCCCCCCGCGGCCGCGGCCCGCGCGCCCCCGCGGCCCGTTGCTAAGGCCCGCCCGCCTCGCGCCCGCCCGCCGGCCTTAGCAACGGCGCCGCGGCGCGAGCCGGGTCGGCCCCCGACGCCCCCCGCGGCCGCCGCGCGCGCCCCCGCCGTGCCCCCCCCACCCCCTTTCCGGGTCAAGAAGCCACGCAGCCGCGTGTGGGCCCCAGAGGGGCAGGTTGTGTGGCGGCCGGGAGCGATGGCGTCACCCGGTTCGCCCGCGCAGCCCCGCTCACGGACACTGCACCGTCGCTGGGACACACTCGGTCTCACACTCACCAGCACACTTGCCGACACGGGCTCACAGACCTGCATTCCTGAGCGCGGCCCCGCTCACACACACGTGTCGCCGCACACACGTCCACAGCCACGCGCACACTCACCTGGGCACGGCAGGCTCCCGTGCCCTCGCACCACACACTCATCCCCATACTGGCCGACACTCACGCTCCCGCACAGCCATGCACACGCAACGCGCACACACTGTGCTCTAGACACACGCGCAGGTGGGTGGGGCTGAAGGTGACTCAAGCCATCTGGGCCTCGGCGTTTTCCTTGAGGGGGGATGCCGCCGTCTGTGTTTGGTTGGAGTTTCCTTTCCTTCCTCCCTGGGCTCCTCCCACACCCAGGAAGCTGGGTCTCAGTCAGTCGTGCACCGGGTGGCCGTTCGCCCGGGTGCCCAGCGTTCTCGGGGTCTGGGTGCCCGGGGCAGAGAGGCCACCGCAGCACCCGCTCCAACCTGGACCCTCGGCCTCCGGCGTCTATGGCAGCCTCCGGAGCCGGGGGCACCCGCTTGGCCCCGGACCTTGGCCCCGCCACCCCCAACGTCATCAGTCATTCCCCTAGGGCCTCTGCGGTGGCACCCATCCCGGCGGGCCCGGCCCTGGGAGGCCCCAGGCCAACCCTACCCGTGTTTATGAGCCGACACTGAGGCAACGGAAAGGGCTCTTCATTCTTCCCTTCTCAAGAAGGCTTATGAAGGTCCCCAGACCAGGGCTGAGACCAGTGTGACCAGCTCAAGCCAGTCTTCCTTCTTGTATTTCTCCCATGACTCATGTGAGTAGAGGCAGGAAGTCCAGCATCTCCTCCTGCAGCTTCCCCTGTGGAACGTTCCGGAACCCTGGACAGTGAGTCCGTGGTTCTGGCTCCAGCAGCCCAACAGGTGTCTGTCCTCCAGCCACAGCAGTGGAGTCCTGCTACCCAGACTCGGGCTCCGGTGGCGCCCCCGCTTGGGCCCTAGAAGGGCACAGCTGTCTGAATCCAGACCAGAGAATGCTGTTCTCCCAAGCAACCCCGTCAGGGCGACTGGCCAACAAGCAGCCAGCCCTTGTGCACAGACCCCTGGACTCTGTGCTCAACCCAGGTCACCAGAGGGGCTCCCCCTTTCCCTCCTGGTCGGTTCCCCTCCAGAGCTTTGGGTGCCCTTTCCTGCCTGGTGCAAGTTGCAACGACTCTCACCTGAAAGGGTCAGGTCCCGGCTGCTTCCCGTACCCCAGGCTCCAGAGCCTCTGTGTGTTGGCCCTTGGGCTCCGGGTCCCCAGGCCCGCCCAGACCACCGTCCTGGGACACCGTCCGCCAGGTGCTCGCTTCCACCTTCTGCCTCACACCTTCTGCCTCACACTATATTGCAAGGGCTCTTTTAAAGACTTTGCCAAAATAAGACTGCCAGAAATTCTCTAGGCTGGGCTATTTTTGGTTCTCTTAAAATAAGCAACAAGGTGGAAGTTTCAAAGATCCATCAGAGGGGTTTTCTGGGACTCCTTTTACTCTCTTCCCAAAGCAGCCTCAAGCCACATTGAGAATGAATAGATTCGGGTACAGGCCAGGGTGGAGCCCTCCTCTGGTGTGACCCGCTCCCTCTCCTCTCCCCCTCCACCTCTCCTGTCGCTTCTCCAACGGCCTGAGCAAGTTCTGGAAGCCCTGCTTTGGGGACTGGAGGAAAACAGCACAAATCATTTTGCCCCCAGCAGGGCAACTGCTTTGGGGGTGGGTGCTCTGTCCTCTGTGGCTTCAGGCTGCTGGGCCGCAGTGATGGGCAGCAAGGAGGGCCAATCACAGGTCCCCTCTGCGTTTCAAAGGCAGCCCTCTGTGTTCCCCATGGCAACGAAGAACAACAAGCTGACACCATTTCTGGACAAAGAAATTTCTCACAGGGATTTACGTAGCATTACATGTTCTGTTTGCTGTTTCTGGGAGAAGACGTGCACACAGATATGAGAGCAACAGCTCCGAGGCCAGTCCTGTTTGTTTTCCAGAGGAAGGGAAAGTATGCATCATACAGTGTTGGGGGGCTTTCGCCAAGAATGGGGACTCACCGGCCTCTCCCTGAATGTGATGATCAGGCCCTTGAGCGACACCCACGCGAAGACCATCGGCTCCAACCCCCGGAGGGGGGGAAGTCTTACTTGGGCTTCAATATGCTGGTAACTTCTCCCACTAAAATATTAAATATCCCCTCAGGAGGGACTGTGACACACAGTAAAATAGAAAACAGTTATACTAACTGTCCAGGCAAGTGGCTTCCAAACTTTTTGAATTTTACAGCACAACCCACTTGTGTATCACATATGTACATGTCTACACACACAGATGACAATACTTAGCCTCAAATATGTGATGTACATTTTCTATTCCATTCTATTTTTTTAAGTTTATTTACTTTTTGAGAGAGAGGGAGGGAGAGAGAGAGTCCCAAGCAGACTGTACTGTCAGCACAGAGCCCAACACGGGGCTCGAACTCACGAACCGTGAGATCCTGACCTGAGCCAAACCAACCGACTGAGCCGTCCAGGCACCGCCCCCTTCTACTTTTTCAATAGCTGTGACTCTCTCAACCCACTGTTGGTTTGTAACCTGAAGTTTGAAAACACTCTCTTGGTCTGAAAGAAGGGCTGAAGGGGCCCGCGGGTTTGGGGGTGGGCGGCCTGGAGAGCACCCCTGGGAAAGCTCCGTGGTGGGTGTGCACTGTAGCGGCCGGGCTGGGCCACCGGGCCGCCACTCCCCCGGCCAGTCCAGTGGCCCCTGGCTAAGAGCAGAGGTGCACCAGCAGGGAAGCAGGCTGCTTGTGCCCCCTCTGGACAGGGACAGTGGAAAGTGGAGACAAAGGAAACAGGGCACGGAGAGACACAGGATGATGGGGTGGGGGGGAGGGCCCAGTGGGGGGTCTTATGCAAGAACTAGACAGGAGCTGGGAAGGGGGGAGATTTGGGGAACTGGCCACATCAAGCTTTAATTTTCTCTAATTCCTGTGGGCCACTCAGGTTGATGAAGGTATCCCCATTTAGGAAACCCTGTAGGAGGATTTGCACGCGTGTGCACACCACTCAGTATCTCTGGCACTTCACCCCAGTCCTTCAGGAGAACTTGAGCACCAGGTGAGGCCAGCCTCCCACAGGTGCCTCAACTGGCGCTCCAACACCCACTTAGACCTTGGACACTTTCTGAAAAATAGATTCAATCTCACCAAGAAAAGGGTTTGTTTCGCTGCGGGTCTCACGGGAGATGGGGAAGAGGGCTGGCGTCAAGAACCACACAGCAAACTCACGAACCCCGCTGTGAAAATCCGGCTGCCTGCCGTCAGATCCTACTCCGGAGCTGCACCGCCTCCGTGTGATCACTGACCTTCTTTCCCAAGCTGCGGGTCATAACAGCACCTTCACTCCCCCCACCAACGCCACCCCACTCCCGCCACCCACCAGGAATTCAACCCCAGCCTCAGCTGGCACACTCTACTCAGCAAACAAGCCAGCTACCCCAGCACACCCCATCAAAGTGGGCTCTGCTCCCCTCTGCTCTAGACACGAGGAGGGAGGAGGTTATTAGGTCCAAATTAAGTCTCGGATTAATGAGATAAAATGTTTGAAAAGTATGAGAATCGTTCTAATTCATCAAAACTGCAATGTGACATCTCACTATGAATAAAGGCAGGTGTGGTGCCCTTCCCTGTCTCTCAAGGCTGGTGGCAATGAGCCTGAAATGTCATATGATGCCAGATCAAAGCGACTTATTCCACTGTCCCCTTGTTCATCAGTGCATTCAGTCAAGACCTGCTTGCAGTCAAGACCTGCCACTTTGCCAGCACAGAACCAATTAAATGCTTGCCCTCTGGAGCCTTCCTCCTAGCAGGTGAAAACAGAAAACAAATCACAAGCAAATCTATCACAAGAGCTGAGGAGCAAGCTAGAACAGAGGGGAGGAGGGAGGCCTGGAGGGAATGGTCGGGGAAGGTGGTGTGGGAGGTGCCAGATAAGGTACCGTTTGCATGTAGACCTAAAGGAAAAGAGGAAGGTACCATGTGGATATCAGTGGGGAAAGCATCCAGGAAAATGGAATGGCATGTGCAAAGGCCCTGAGGTCAGTAAGCATTAGGGAGGCCAGTGTGGGTAGAGCTAATGAGCAGGAGAGAGTCACAGAAGATGAAGCTGAGGATGAGGGATTAGGGCTCCTGGAGCTAGAGACACAGGGCCTTGAGGGTCATCAGCAGAACTTTGGTTTTATCTGGAGATGGGAGGCATTGTAAAGTTTGATTGACAGCTTATATTCTATCCAAACTAACCCTACATCCGATCTGACTTCATTGTCATTCAGCCAATAGACATATGCCGAGAACCAGGCAAATCTGAACAATCGGACACTGTCTTGTTACATATTGAATGAGGTCACGGTCGATGAAGCATGCTGTGGGCCAGCAGCTAGAAACACAAACGTCCTGGGTGTTAGAAAAGGAGGCGACTCCCTCCTGACCCAGTGACCCCACATCTGGGACTCTCCCCTCCAAAGCTGTAATGCCAAATACTGCAAAACCATATCTCCCACCTTCAAA